TCTGTAAACCGCTTAGAGAGGGCTGGAAGCCCTATGAAGCGGTATATAAGTCTAACTGCTTTTGCTATTGCTAGCTTAATTTGTTGGTTTATAATTGCACTGTGGCTTAATCTGTCCACGCCCAAATTAACCCAGTTTTGGTTGCCCTTCCCCTCAGCATGACAAAAGCAGACTGTAGAAGCCCCCCCTCAAAAAAAGCCCCACAGGGTAGATGGGCGTTTATCTGGAGCATGGAGGGAAGGATCGGGTGGCAGGTGAAAGGGCAGAGGAGAGGAGAAAACCAGAACATCTCCTCTCACCAGTTGCTGGGATCACTTACGAGCTGAAGCGTTTGGTCAGGCCGTGATGCAGCTTTGGTGAGTTGGGACAGGAGTCGGCTGGTGGCTCTATCATACAAGAAATGTAGTAGCTGGAGGAGAAGAACGAAGACAGATTGTGTAGCTACATCTTCTACTGAGGATGGACACGTGGCACTTTTGGGGTTTATGGCCTGAAGTCTCAGCCCCATATCTCCCCTTACTCCTTGTTTACTCATCAATTCCCAGAGTGGGTGGATGGATGGATGGATAGATGGATAGATGGACAGATGGACAGATGACAGATGACAGATGACAGATGGACAGATGGATATAGATATAGATAAACTGCACAGATATGGACTAATTCAGTAAAGATTCAATAATAGTATATTTGGAGAAAACAATTTGGATAATTCTTTTAAGCAGGGAAAGGGGACACAAAGGACAGAATCAAGCTGCTTCTCTCTGCCTTCTCTTCAATAAACGCCCTGCAAAGTGATTTTATTTTCTGATGTAAAAAAGTGACAAGTTGTCTTGAGTACACTTTAAATTTGCAATTATTGCTGCATTTGAACACCACTTAGCAGAGGTGCAATCTGAGTAACACAAGCATTGGGAGTGTGTAATGCTTTTGCCCACCAGACAATTTTCTGTCCATCCCCAGCAGAAATCTCCCTTCCCACCTCTGGTCTTCGGTGAGCTGCCGCTGGTGATGGAAGGCCAAGTGGAAGGATGGATTCAGGCGAAGGTTGTATCCCTGGCAGGACTGTTGCAGGTGACGGATGCAGGAGAGGATGGCTGCTTCCTGCAGAAGAAGGGCGCATATGACGGAGTCGCGTCGCTGCTGAGATGGCACCCGTGTCCATTCTCTTGCTGACCAGGATTAGGCCTCCCCATCCCAGGGCTAAGCGCAAAACTAGGAAATGTTAGCTCCTCCCCTTATCCCTCCCGCTCTTCTACCTCTGATTTACCTTGCGCCTCTTCTCAAAGTTAATGAGCTGGCCCTGGGGAAAAAGATTGGAGAAAGGAAACCAAATGGAGACAATGAGCAGCACATGGAGACAGAACTTAAGCAGTTGAACCAGCCCCCATTAACATTTGACGTGCAAAGTTTCAGGCTCAATCATCCCCATTTATTTTTAGCTAAAAAAGGGAATTCAAATAGCAGACTGAGAATTTAGACAACTGAGGCCAGCCAGAAAAGTAAGAAAGAATCTGGTGATATTTTAAAGAGTAAACAAAGTATTGGGGCCAGTGGTGAAATTCATTTTTTTTATACTACCAGTTCTGTGGGCATAGCTTGGTGGGCATGGCAGGGGAAGGATACTGCAAAATCCCCATCCCCTCCACACTCCCGGGGCCAGCCAGAGGTGGTACTTGTCGGTTCTCTGAACTACTCAAAATTTCTGCTACCGGTTCTCCAGAACCTGTCAGAACCTGCTGAATTTCACCCCCGATTGGGACACATAATAAATTGGACAACACTTCATCTGATATAAGACAAAAACAGCCCCTTGGTAACAACTGACAAGTTATCCCAACTCATATATGCACACATACTCCTGTGTGGCCAGCAAATACCCCATCTTCAATTAGCACTGTTCTCTAGAGCAGTGGTTCCCAAACTTGGCAACTTTAAGACTTGTGGACTTCAACTCCCAGAATTGCTCTGCTGGCTGGAGAACCACTGCTTACGTACCTGCCTCCCAACTACGTTGCAGCAGCCCTCCCCTCGCTCCTCGAGTCAGTAGCCGAGCTAGCGGTTGAGTTCCCTAGACTTATAGTTCTAGGGGACTTTAACTTGCCTTCGCTCGGTGAACACTCTGATGGAGCGCAGGAGTTCATGGCTTCCATGACAGCCATGGGCTTGACTCAAGTAATCCGAGGCCCAACTCACTCAGCGGGTCACACGCTCGACCTCGTATTTCTCTCGGAGCAGTGGAGTTACGATCTTGGTCTGAGGGGTAATGAGATCATACCCCTGTCGTGGTCAGACCACTACCTACTGAGGCTAGACTTCCGGAGGCCAAACCCCCACTNTCTGACAACCAATCAGAATACAAGCTCAAGATCAAAGGCCAGAGAGGGCATAAAACCAGGGACTCAGCATCTCAGTACTTCCTTCTCTTTTTCTCCACCAACATTGAAGCATGTGATCACCTTTTCTATTCAGGACTCAAGCCATGTAGTCCTGTCCACCAATAAACCATCTTTCCAAGCAGTCTCCATGTCTCCAGTGTCTTTTTCCCCACTTGGAGCCAAAACCAGGAGGACATTTTTTTCAACACTTGCTTTTCTCTAGCCATACATTTGTTTAATACAAGTATTCCTATAGTTCAGAACTATAATTTGGATTTTCATTCTGAAACTCTCAAGAACAATTTAGCTCTCCTCCTGACTAATTTTCTTGTAAACATGGACACACCTAGACTTAGTTGCATCTAAGGAAAGTGGCTGGAAGTAATATGATTGTTTCTTACTTAGAATAATTAATTATCTTGTGGCTCCTACTACAAGAAACAGACAAAAGAGAAGGGTAACATATAACCAATTATTGATTTCTATGCCTGGTATTACTCACCAGGAAGCTGAAGAACAGATGAAAACCATTCTCCTATTACTGTATTAGTGTATAATTAAATGCAACTCAGTATTTTGCTTGAAACTATGCCCACCACTCCAGATAATAAGGATAAGTTAAGGTAGAGTGGTAAATAGCATCAGACGGAGATTCAGGGTGGCATTACATGGGATGATGAAGGGCAAGTTTGCCAGTTTTATCTGTAACCAATTCTAAAATTTATATTTCTATTACATTAAATCTTTAATTCCTCAGAAATTACTATACTTCAAAGTTTCACTGTATGATTTCTACGGTTATTAACACTGTTCATATTCAGATATTAGATTTTAACATTTGTAGTTTTAAAAACAATATAGTATATTCAGTTACTTTAAAAATCAATGAAAGATTGAACATTTTAGCCTAATTTCATGTTTGCAAATTTCTTATTTGTACTCTACTTTTCCCTTTTCCTCTCTTGTTCCCTTTTTTCCACTTTTCCTTAAAAATTGAATAAAAACATTATCAAAAAGCAATAACTGTTGAGAGGAATATGATCCGGAAGTCAAAGCCTCAATATATGTAAAGGTTGGAATTTTTTAGCTTATTTAGAAATGTGACCTCATTTTGAATTAAAACACGTTTCCAACTCTGAAATAATATTGTCTGAAGAAATAAGCAAAGCTATGCAATTTTTTTTCTTTGAGGTTTTAGCAGCTTTGTAGCAGGGATAGAAAGGTCTATCACTGGACATTTTTAAGAAGGGACTGGACAGCTATTTGTCTGCAATGGTATAAGATCTCCTACTTGAGCAGGAGGTTGGACTAGAAAACCTGCAAGGTCCCTTCCAACTCTGTCATTCTGTAAGTATATGTTTTGTTTTGTTTTTCTTTTTATTTGTAACAGCAACTATCTACCAACATTAAGATTTAAACAATAATGCAGGTATCCATTAGGTGGCAGTATTATTATATAACATTGTAAATTTAAAACTAGAATGTGGGCCTTTGCTCTTCCACACCATATATGGTGTACCTACAACCCAAGAGATGGAGACCAGTTTTTCTTGATTCTGCAAGCAGATATGAATCAAGTTAAAACAGCTCCCAAATAGCCCAAATGTTATAAAGAGCATTCATAAAGAGAGATAGGAAGTGCTTTGTTTGCTTTTTTTTTAGTTATTGAAGACATGTACATAATGATTCAAGGAATAAACAAACTAACACAAAATATCTTTTGACTTAATCATGACTCTCTCTCTTTTTTTAAATTAGAAACATCAACTATTCCTGAAACCTTTTTCAGATAGCTCTTCACAGATATAATTGATTCTTGTGTCAGCAGTATTTTGCAACTTAAGGGAAATTTAGTAGAGGTGTGAAGCAAAAGGAGGCTCAAACATTCAGGGAAAAAAGAACCTAAAAGCAGGCAATTTTCTGAACGCTGCAAGAAAACAGCTTTGGAAAAATAACAGAAATCTTTTTTTTAAAAAAATATAAGCAACATGGTGTGAACACATCAGGTTCACAAAGCACTGGTAAATTAGAGCGGCTTACAGTCCAATGGGAGTGCATAAAAAAAGATCTCCAGGAGGGAAAATGCTGCATACATATTGTAAGGGAAATTTAAAACAGTCAGGAGTTGATCAAGAAGAGGAAGGGGATTTAATTACACTGGCCTGGATGGGCCCAAATGTTTAACGCTATTTTAATACTAAGTGCTAAGAAAACCAAGAGGGGAAAATATCACTCACAGAGTTCAAAAATAGTAGTGAATTAGAGGTGCTAAATGTAACTTGATGTGGGTGGGTTTTAAGAGCAACTTCAGGTAGACCTTGACTTACAACAATTCATTTAGTGACTGATAAAAGTTACAATGTCACTGAAAAAAGTGTCTTATGTCCGTTTTTCACACTTACAACCATTGCAGCATCTACACTGTCACGTGATCATCTTTTGCAACCCCCCCCCAGACAAACAAAGTCAATGGGGAAGCCAGATTCATTTAACAACAGTGTTACTAACTTAACAACTGCAGTGATTCACATAACTGTGGCAGGAAAAGGCAAATGTCTTAACAAATGTCTTGCTTAGCAACACCAAAGTTTCTGATTTACTATTATTTTAGAGAGATATTATTTTGAAAACCTTTTCATAAGCTATTCCCTGGGAAGTATAAGATGGGATAAAGATGTCAATCTAGAGATCTGCATATATAACCATCTTTCCAAGAAGCTTTTAGAGATTTCAAAGTTTTAGTAAATATGCAGTATAGAGAGTTATATCTGGATGTCCGTGGGGAGATCTCAGGGTAGGTTATCAAATCTTAGTTTAGTGGGATAAAATATGGAGTTGGCATCAGAGATCATATACTGTATACTGGGTTTTTGGTTGTTTTTTTTTAAAGTCCTGCAATATTAGCATGTATATTTTTTTACCCAAAACATCAAAGAAAAAAATAGAAAATTTCAGATAATGAACTTCTTCTTCCTAGTGTTATTCCTGCGCTATGGCAGGATCCAGTTGTCGACAAAGCCATCTCCACTTGGGTCGCTGCAGGACCTCTTCGGGGTGACACCCATGTATTTCATGTCCTCTTCATCCACCTTTTGGGGGGGCCTGCCATAGGGTCACTGGCCATCAGGGTCCAGATGCATGGCTGTCTTTGCCACCAAGTCTTCAGATAATAATGACCTTCAGATCAAAAACTTCAGATAATGATCATTACAACAAAAACAAAAGACTTCAGAAGAAAAGATTAAATAGATTCCTTGTTTTACTATTCCTCAGATAAAATTTACTATGCCTAGTACCAACCTTTTGCTTTCTAAATGTCAGGAGATTTTAATTTTACTTAAAACTGAGTCGGGCACTTTTGATACAAGTAAAAAACTAGATTGAAGCCAGTCACTTTTAAAAACATGCAGTTGATGCAAATTGTTTTTGTATGTATATTGTTCAATTATGGACTGCTTTGTTAACCAGATGCTTCCTGTTTCTTGAGTTATGAGAGACAGAGAAAAGCAGAAGGACAAGAAAAGAAAACCAGGAGCTCTTTTTTTTAGTCTAGAAACACAATAAATGTGAGAAAAAATACAGACTGCAATGAACTGAATACAATTTTCTTTACTTACAATACAAAAAAGCTGAGGGTACAAATAGATAAATCATGAGTTAGTAAAGTAAAACAAAATATACAGTATATTTTGCTGATGCATTTGTTACTATAAAATATGTGAACTCAAAAACCGCTTCACTCAGCCCCATTCATAAACTTGCATTATTACATTGATTTCATGTTATTTACTTAGCTAAAGAAGGTTGCTAAAAACAACTGCAGATGTTTAATTTATCTAGGTTGTTGGTATAAATGTCAGCATGGACACAAAGAAATAAAGATGTCACATTATTTCAAAGTTTATGAGTAGGAAAGAACAATGTGTATATTTCCCAGCTCTATTTCTGATAAGGAAGTCTGTTTGACTCTGCATATTTACATTTCTATAATTCAAATCAATGTGTTTAAATGTGGTTATTTTTCAGTATCCATTTGGAGGAAAAAAGCTGTGAGAACATTTTCAGGATTAGATTTCTAAATTTACCCAACTGGAGAAGTTGCATTGCCCTTTTCTCTGAGATAAAACAATTGCCACTTTGGGATAGTAGGATCAATTC